TCACGAATGTTTGATAATTATCTGTGATGATGCTACATGAATGCATTTGATATTTTTTCTATTTGAAAAAAAAACTAACAAATTGACAGCTTGCTCTCATTCATTGCAAGGAATTTTTAACATTTTTTTTTTTCAAATGAAAAACAAATAGCAACGCTTGGGTCCGGTCGCTATCGCGTTACCAAATTTGATAACCCGTTGTTCAACGAGAGGCATATTGTTATTTCCCGCACGTGTATAGCAACCCCCGGTGCGGTTACTGCGTTATGAAGGAGGTTGCTAAAATAGCTTTGGGGTGGTCTTACGGAATCAAATAATCCCCCCTATTCTGCGAGTCACGTGACTCTCTCTCACCGGTGAGGTGACAATTGTCACCTCACCGGTGACAGAGAGTCACGTGACTCGCAGAATAAGGGGGAATATCCTAAGCTACAAAATGGAACCAATGTTTCCAGTTCGGAAATAGTGCAGAGAGTAAATTTAATCAAATTTTACTTTTAGGTTGATCTTGTGGGAAGTTTTTTTATGCGGATTTTGAAATTTGCGTAGTTCATTATCATCGTTATTATAGTATAGAGTTGTTAAATACTGCAAATTATCCATTATCAATTTGCAGAGCTGTTACAACAGTCGCGGATTTCGCGATTTACGTGGATTTGAGTCGCGAAAATCGTGGAAACATTCAATGATGTGGAATTCATTGTAACCTTTCCGTCCCGGATAACTTGGTTTTACCGGTTCAAACCAAACACCCTGCAAATAATCGAGAAATGATCTCAATTCCATCAGTCACACCGGATTTACACGGAAATTTTCTGAGGTCTGTCCAATGTAATTTTTTTCTTTTTTTTCCCAATATGAACATAGCAGTTTTCGTTGTCAAATCGTATATATGCGAGTAATTGCCATGTCGGATATTCTAGGTTCTCCAAATCGTCCTGGAGTTCAGTTGATGTGTTCTACTGTATCAACCAAGACTGCAATAATGTCTGTAGTATCGAAATATGTCCAAACAGATTCAAAGTGTCTTTGTGGATTGTACCCGACCATTGCTAGGTATACAAGTACATGATGTTATAGGTTCGGAAATCATTCTGGAGATCAGATTATTTTCTACTAGACTAATTCAATATCTGTAGTATCGCAAAATGCCCAAACAAATTTGCAGTGTCTATGTGGATCATGGCAACCTATTTCCGTGTATGCCAAATGTTCTAGGATTTCCAAATCGATATTTCGATACTACAGATATTATCCAGTTTTTGTTGATCTAGTAAAACAAATCATCTGAACTGCAGGACGATTTGGAGAACCTAGATCATTTGGTATACGTGGAAATAATTAAACATTATTCATATAGACACTATGAACCTGTTTGGACATATTTTGATACTACAGTTTTAATACCAGTCATGGTTGATCATCTAGTAGAATAAATCATCTGAACGATTGCTTCTTCAAAATCACATTTCAAGCTGATTGATTAGTGCATATTAGCTTATTGCGTGCTCTCAACTTAATGTCCTAAATGCACTTCCACAGTTATTAATTGAGAGCTTCTTTCGATGCCAATACCAATGTATGAATTCGTATATTGTGTGGCAAGCACAATGATACTCTATACCCAGGGAAGTCGAGAAAATGTCCAACCGGGAATCAAACCCGCCGCCTCCGGCTTGGTAATACCGTGCCTTTACTGACTAGGCTATGAGGTCCAGAACGATTTGGAGAACTTGAAACATTTGGCATACATGACAATAGTTCATGCATGATCCACATAGACACTGTGCATCTGTATGGAAATATTTCGATACTAGAGACATTGTCCCAATATCGGTTGATCTGTAGATCAAATTATCTGAATTCCAGGACGATTTGAAGAACCTTGAACATCTGGATTATTCGGAAATAGATCATGCATGATCCACATAGACACTTTGAATCTTATTGGATATCGATACTACAGACATTATTGCAGGCTTGGTTGATCTAGTAGAACAAATCAAATCAACTGATGTTCAAGAGGATTTGGAAACCCTATAATTTCCGGTATACATAGTAATAAGGCGTGCAATATCCACAAAGTCACATATATACGATTCGGTTATGATTTGACAACAAAAAGTGCTAGGTTCATATTAGAAATAAAAAAAATATCATGAAAATGTCTCACCATTGGACACACCCCAAGAATACCCGTGTAAATACACAACCACGACGTGATCAACAAGCGTGACTTATGAAACTCTGGTAATTATTCGATTAGGGTAAATGTTGGCTTCGGCACCCATTGACTGTTTTCGGCAACCAAAATTTAAACCAGGGTTGCTTCCACTCACTTGCTATAAAAAAATAATTTTCGGAATTATGCAATCATTAGATGTAACAATGATATGTTGTATTTGTAAGTAACATGAAGAGGGTGTAAAGTATGTGTTTGACTCATAAAACCTGTCAATACCGCTTTCAGAGCGTCACAATCAGCGATCTTATGATTCGTGAGCGTTCACTCAGAGTGAGCGCTCACGAGTCGTAAAATCGCTGATAGTGACGCACTGAAAGCAATATTGACAGATTTTATGTGTCAAACATATACTTCTTGACCTCTTCTTGTAACTTACAAGTACTAATTAGCATTATACTATTTCATGATTTCATAATTACGAAAAACATTTTTTTATAGCAAGTGAGTGGAAGCAACCCTGATTTAAACGTTAATTTCACTATGTTTTCCTATCAACGCACTTCCCTGAATGTGTCCAAACGATTGTATAGCCATTCAGCTTCAATCTGATTATATTTGAACGATCGAGCAATCCAGTAATGCTACATTTTTCTTCAAATAAAGCATACGCACTACAAAATGAGGTTGATTTCGAGTTGCCGATAATAGAACAGCTGGTTAACACGCAGTTCTAATGGGAAGGTTGCCGAAGAAAAAGAGACTGCCGACAATAGTCACACTCACCTGAGAAGTTTGGAGCGTTGTAAAAACGCTTTCAAAACGTTTTGAAAAATTCTGTCGATTGGAATGGATAGAGAAGCAAGCAGCAGATGAATGTAAACAAACAGACACATCATATATGTGCGTCACGCTGAGAAAATGCTAGTAGAAGTGCAGACGCTGCTTAGATTGACTAGAATACGTAAATTCCCCTATGTGTTGTTTGGTTTGAATCGGTAATTTAGAAAACTAGAGATAAATCAACTATAACATTTAGGACAGCAAAATACGCCAGAGACGCAATTTTCAAGAAAATTTGCATTTCAAATGAAAATGCATTATTGTTTTTTTTTAATAATCTTTCATCAAATCTAGGCCGGTATTATTCAATAGAATTCATTATGTACGGGTGTTTTATTATGTTCACTAATTAAGTTAAGATAAGTTTTCTTCATTATGGAGGCTGGTTCGCCTCCGTGTTCACTAATTACTCAGAATTTATACTATAACTGAAGATGATACAATGTTATTAAAAAAAATTCAAAGGTTACAAACGATTCAGTCGGTAAAGGCGCAGCTACAAAGCAAGTCCATACTGGAGGCGACTGAGTTCGATTCCCGTCCGGTCTATTATTTTTTTGGGTTGGAAAATTTCTCTACTTCCTTGGGCATATGATGGTGCAGGCATAGAAAGCTCTCAATTAAAATGTGAAAGTACTTCAAAGAACATTAAGTTGGTACAAATCTCATATGCTATAAGTAATAAGCTTGAAATGCCATGTAGTAAGTATAAAATGCTATTTTTAGGCAATGAAAACAGTTTTTTTTTTTTGTTGCGGATTAGTATTTGAAGTCGCGGATTTCTTTTGAGAAATCGCGGATCAAATTTAGAAAATCTTGTAACAGCCCTGAATTTGTTTATTTCTTCAATTGTGGTTTGCAAAGTTATGTATCATTTATTTTCCTTTGTTTTTTGTTTTATTTTAGGATTTCCGAATTTAGGCGGTTTTAAAACTAAACTGTTTTTTTTTTGTGCGGTTTCCTTTGAGCGTGTGACTCTGTTTGCGATGGAATCCAGTGTACTTTCAGTATGATTTCTTTACAGTCAATACTGCTTCTTGCTTTTGAAATGGCAATACGAACTGAAAAGCTACGTGACCTAGTGAGCACCATAGCTCGACTCGTCTGTGTTGTGAGAGCCCAACAGATATATAGCTTCGCAATAGTTCTGCCATGTGACAACAAAGTAGCGTGTACGTATATCCAATTTTCACTTGTTTGCATTTTCACGTTGAGTGCATCAAACAGCACCTATTGGATTGAACGTTCGTCGAACAAACTTAAAAAAAAAGTATTTTCTTGACAACTTTCTGTTTGAGGATGTCTAGTAGGGTTATGATTATAGATTGAAATCAAGGTATAAATATACCTATTTATAATGCCGGAACAGAAAAAGCTTCTCCTGAACGATTTTGATGCTGACATCACAATGTTTTCACAGCCAGTGTTGATAAACTCTCGGAAAAGCAAATTATTCTCGTATATAAACTGGAGTTTGAAGTTATGACGAAAAGAGGACGGACATTCACGAATTTGAAAACTAAGCGCTTACTTTGCTTCTCTTTACCTGGGTACCCCGGATTCAATCGATTTTATGATGCAAGCCAATGGGCCTAAGTGACTACATTAACCATACAGGTTATAGTGAATTATTTGGTTCATCATTAAAAGTTAAATGTGCAAAAGTTGGCTACGGTTGGCACAGTTTTGTTATAAATCCAGAGAGAATCCAAAATCTGTCCACTTAGTTTGTGAACAGCTCCTGCGGATCGAAATAAGAAATCCACAACGACACCTCTCGCTATTGCCGTTTTTAATAATGTTTGTATAGTGGAGGAGGCTTTTGGATAGCGGAAGATAAAATGTTTATTGTGTTATACCTTTTGAGACTATAGTGAACAAAAATCCTTGGCTCTGTAAAGTTAATTCGGTTGAGCTTTTCAAATAAATTAATAAACAAAAAAAAAATAATGTTTGTATTATTTGTGTCTTGCAGAACCCACAAAAATAGACACCAACAAAACGAAAATGGATGATGATCAACAGTTCTGTCTTCGATGGAACAATCACCAGAGCACACTCATCTCCGTGTTCGATACGCTGTTGGAGAATGGAACATTGGTGGATTGCACATTGGCGGCTGAAGGGAAATTTTTGAAAGCTCACAAAGTTGTTCTCTCGGCATGTAGTCCGTATTTTGCGGTAAGTATTACATGTTCATCATGCTATAATAAAGGCATTAACTTTTTTTTGTTCATAATCATTCAGGCGCTACTATCACAACAGTACGATAAGCACCCAATCTTCATACTCAAAGATGTGAAATTTCAAGAACTCCGCGCCATGATGGACTACATGTATCGTGGCGAAGTAAACATCTCACAGGATCAGTTGGCTGCCCTTTTAAAAGCGGCTGAGTCTTTGCAGATCAAGGGCCTATCGGACAATCGGGGTTCATCTTCTACCGCGCCATCACAGCAGAAGCAGCCACAGAATGAAACTTCTGCGACAAAATCACTACCGCCACCCGTACCTGCAATCAAGGTATAGTGTTTTGCGTTTATCTAATTTTATTTATTTAATTGCATATCTTTAATTCTCCCAGGCTACAGGTTTAACGATCGAAAATAAAAGGCCTTCGAAAACGGATATGCTCGATTCAGACATATCCGGATCGCGAGAAGGCTCTGCTAGTCCCACTTCACGGAAGCGTAAAAAACTTCGACGAAGAAGCGTCGATAATAATAATCTTATTGGTAAGTAAATCATACTCATGTTTTATCTAGGAAATCCCATTTATAATGTTATCATTATGATCTAGAGTGCTAGAGTCAGAGTTAAAGATCCAATTTTAAAGAAAACTTATGTCTGAAAAATTGTAGGATACTGAACAAGGCATTTTCAACTTTTTATGTTGCCGAAATGCGAAGGTATCTGTAGGTATCAAATGTTGCGCAGTAGGGGAAAAAGTGACCCAAAATCCCGCCTTATTAAAAGTCGTTGCATAGGAGCCCTGTAAAATAGCTTATCTTACACTGAGGCATAACATAAGAATTTCATAAGGCTCAACTTACATACGACACATATGAATTTCTTAAGACGAAACATATGAATGATTGTCTAACATGAGGTAGGTCTTATACGCCTTTAACCATTTCATTTTCCCAAGCGTTGAAAGACGAGTGGTCAACACACAGACCCCGTAATCTCAACGCCCATGGTTCGGTTCCAGTCTACTTCGTTTTATTTTGTTTTGTCAATATTATTTTTCATAAGGCAAATCGATGAAACAATATCGATTCCTTTTGTCGAAATTTCATAAGTGATTCTTATGGAATTCAAACATTGCCTCAGAGTAGGTATCACTTTTCTGGCCTTCAATGATTGCTCTTCTACCTTCTTTTGCTTTTTAACATTGTCTGCATTTTCATAGCCTTGCTACGTATAGATGATGATTTTGTATGATGTGTACGACCAATGTTGAGAGTAAAAAAATTGACTTTAAAAACTCACATCAAATCAAAGCTTGATTTGGTAACAAATTTGTGTTTATCCGTGTTTAAAGTCTGCCAAGAAGAGTTCCGGGGTGATTTGAGATTTGGGTGTAATTGTATTTGTAAACCAACACGTCAATCGCCGATTTCTCGCGAATAAAAGCTCAATTTTGAAAACTAATAACACTATGAGGTAGAGGTATGATTCTTCTATCATTTGGTATAGTTTGATTATAAGATTGAGCTTTTATTCACGAGAAATCGGCGATTGATCTGTTTGTTTACAAATACAATTACGCCCAAATCTCAAATCAATCCGGAGTTGCGATTTTTTTAACTCGACATTGTCATAGACCTATCATCGAACTATCATAAATTTTCAGAGGTTTTGGAAAACAATTCTAGACTCAATATTCTAGATATTTTTTTACATTGAAATCTTGAAAGCTTTCCAAACCCACACTGTAACAAAAAGTTACATAGAATTAACCTGAAAAGGCACGTAGATTTTTTCGATCCATTTGATGCGCTTCGTCAAAAGTTTTCTTCTGTTTTTCGCCGGCAGGAGTAACTGACTATAAGATATATCAAGAGCAAATTTTCATTACGTCGAATGTAACAAAGGTAAACAAAGTCGAGCTATCAGTGTCAATCGATTCTCCTGCTATTACACTATATACTGTCCGAATATAGGATCAAATCACATTTTTAAATTTATTTGCCAGTCAAATTGCTTTTTGACGTAATCACCTTCCGATCAAAATAGTTTTCGATGTTACTTAAGTCACCCAATTTCTATGGAGATGCCGTTTGACTTAAGTAACAGCGCTGAGAAATCCGTGAAAAGTGTACGTTCGTCGTTTCGCTTTCTCATTATTAAAGTGAATAAATCGAACTGTTTGTTGCTAAGATGGTTTCGGTGGTCCTAAAATGATGAATGGGCTGCACGTAAGGAGACGTAATTGATAATTCTCCCGAATATCCTGGTAAATACACTTTGAGTTAAGTAACAATAGGGGCCACCAAACGACGTATAATAACTTTTGACTCAAAAACCAGTATTTTTTAGCATGAAAGCTAGCGATTTGCATTTGTATGATTAAAACCCTGCTAAATATGTTAAACATTGCTATCACTATGAGATTATATGTGTTTACTTGGAAATAGGAATAACTTTTCGGTCATCAAAACAAAACTTTATTTTTCTCGGATTGGTGCGAATGTTACTTACGACATAATGAAAATTTTCTCTTGATATGTTTTTAATGTTTTTTATGTTATGACCATGCTTGAATGTATTTTTTTTACCATAGTTGATAAAGTTAACATAGTTGATGTAAAACAACAATAAAACATCATGCTTTCAGGTAAATTTTACGTGTTTTGGGGGGAGAGATTACATTTAAGTGACATCTGACTCGATGATCTTCAAATTGGCATCATTAAGTGTTACGGGAATTAGCAAGTAAATGCTATTGGATTTTGTAGTAATGATAAAATGAATTTGTGATATACTAAATATATCTAGATTTATTTGAGTCATTTAATGAATGAGAGCACTGCATTCCAGGAAAATTTACTAATATACAATATTTAATAATTGGCACTGATGATCTCGAAGTTTTTTTTTTTCCTTTGGTTTGTTTTTTCCGTCAAAGTTGACGTAATCTTATAGTTGCATCGTTGTAGATCATCCATTGATGATTGTTTGTTTGATTTGATTGATTGTTGAGGCAACCAATCCATTCCCGTATTCTGCAATTTCATTTTTAATTCACAAATTAATGTTAAAAAAAAACTTACGTTCGAAAACATGAAGCCTGGGAATTTCAATTCGTCCAACAACGACGAATACGTACTTTTTCTATCGCCATTATTGAATTATGAATACGGCGAAAACATTTTCATACTACATAATCACGAAAAACTTAGGGTACGGCCAGGGTAGACGCGACGCGACCAATTAAAAAGAATCTTATTATTTATTATTATTCCTTGCGTGAGTCGCGTGTCGCGTCTACCCTGGCCGCGGCCTTACGTGAATTTCACTTAAGGAGTTTCGCTGCGAGATCCTTATCCTCGTTTACACTTCGAAACTTTAAGTGCACAAATATCAGCTTCTACGACACGGACCACAATGAAACTGTTACTCCACGTTTGCTGTACTGCAGCATACATGAGGTAACAATTTCATGTGAAATGGGGCATTAATTGCCGAGATTTATGTGAATGAAAATTCGAATTGGAAGATCTATCTATCTATGTCTATCTTCCTGTAAATTTCAATCTTCGTCATTTTTTAAAGATTATTTATTTATCATTATATACTGAAACTATCACTACATTTCTATTTAATTTGCCAATATCATCGACATACCACCTCCTAGGGCGGCAGGCCCTTCCTATATGTACAGAAAATAATTATGCGCCTAGCCACCAAGTCCAATCAAGTCAAGTAGGTAATCATAGAAGTTGATTGATTCAACATCACACTTTGGTTGCATACGACCTATCCAAAAATGATTCCAAAACTCAAACCTTCAGGCACACGGTAAGAAAAAAGTACCCAAAAGTAAGTTCGTATCACTCATCTCGGTACTATAGTGCGGGAAACCAATAATAGGTAATATGGGTCAAAGTAGTTTTCATTTACTTGTGTTCAATTCGTATGGAATTAACAATTCGCTTTCTACCCAAAAGTAGATGAATATGATTAAACTCAACTCAACTATACTCAAAGGCAGGTAAATATGGATTGCTGCAATAAAAGCATTGTTTTTACACAATTTGTTTCAATTAAATCGACAACACCGAATACGATGATAGATGATTCGTACACACACCTTCGTAATTCGGTGTGTTGAAAAAAGTTTAACAAAACAGTTTCAGCTTACAAAATTATTCGCGACTCGTATTTTTAACAATGCAAATAATATTATTTAAGTAGGGGAACTAGGGGCAAGAAGGTCACCAGGGGCAAGAGTGCCACCCTCAATATATTTTGAAAATGAAATCATTTCAATCCTATCTCACGATGAACCTATGCACGGTATTCCTATAAAGCATTCTAAAAAGTTCTGTCCGAATCGAAGTCGTAAAAAAATGCAAAAAATAATTTTGTGTTGATGCATTGAAAAGCTAGTTTTTTATAAGAATAAGGCATCATAAAATAAGGTTTTCGAAATTTCGAGACGTCACTATTGATGGTTGATGGACATTAGTAACAATAAATTATTGAATATTTTCTTTAATTAATCAAAAACTATATTCCTAAAAATAAACTGTATACGGGGCAAGAGTACCACTCCTACATTTATGTATTAAATTGTACAAAAATGTTCAGAAATTAGCACAATTGGGCATTTATGTTTCCAATATACATAGTTTTCGTGAAATTTTGGAAAACAAACTGTATAAAATAAACAGTTTCCATTTGGATTCTTTGACGCACATGGTTTATATGTTTTTGATAAAAAAAATATCAATATTTTAGTGGAATAAACAATAAAAGCAGTTGCTGTCATACCTAAGAATTGTTAAATTGTTTGTTTAGAAATGAACATTTATCAGTTTCACTTCATTTTAGACATATGGTCTTTTCGCCCCATAAGAGTGGCCCTCTTGCCCCGGCATTTTTTAGAGCAGGCACGCACGACATGACATTTTGAAAAATCATTAACATTTTTTGATGGGGTTTAATTTCAATTTCAGTGATGATACATGGAGGCAAGGTTATAAACTTATAATTCGGTTCACGAACTCCTATAAATATTCACGGAATCGCATATTAAAACGCGCTATCGTTAGGGTGACCTTCTTGCCCCTAGTTCCCCTAAATGTCGTCTTTAAAAGTAAATTAACTTGAAAGAGCGTGTAGAAGCACGAGTCGTAATTGTTTTTAGTGTGGTTCTGAGAAGTGTAAGCTAATGAAAACACTTCTTAAAATTTCATGCCCTGAGCATAACAAATTGCACTTTTTAATGCAAATGTTATCAGTGGCTGACTGAATTGGTAATATTTTGGTGGACAAATGTTAAACTATGTATCCGGATCTTATTCATACAATTTAGGACCATTTTTTAAGGTATGTAATTAGTAATTTACTATTTTGAAGGAAGATGTCTTTCGTACGCATACCAAAACACGTTTTTTATGACTGTGGGGACAGCCATTGTTGCGTGACGTGTGTCGTATGACCTTAAAAAGGAGCTCGTTTGCTTAGTGGCAAACGTTTTTGCTTACTGAGCAGAGACCGTGGGTTCAAACCGCCTTCGCGATCAGTGCTGTAAATTCTCAAAATCAATTTTTGATGAAAATGAGGAAAGCAGCTATTCGTTATCAAAGAGGACCTGCTTCGAATGGGTGATATCAGTTGCATAGTCATTTGACGAAGGCATGGATCATTCTCATTTGAGAAACGCTTGATATCATTCAATTGAGTGTAACATACACATAAACGGAGCTCTGGTCGACATTCCGGCGAAAAAGCTAAGCCAACCTGACACCTACCAAACACAAACCCGATGTTGACCCGACAACAACACGACATTTGGTCAACATCGACCTTAAAGTTGCCTTAAATTGATCCGACATCGGGTCGATTTGCTCATGCTATACGGGTATAGTATCAACTATGATGCTAGGAATCCAGTAACACAAGCACCAAACAGACGTCTCTTTATCCGATTTTCCTAGACGCACACGTACATACCGACTACCTAACCAAGCGAGAACCACATCCTTACTTGGGATAGTTCTTACTGTCGTTTCGTCCATGCTTAAAGTTCTAGATGGATCTTGTAAAATATTTTGGAAACCTTCCGACGCAATGAATTCAGTGATTTCATTAAACCATGATCTGATCTGTCCTTCTGTGTCAATTGCACGGTATTTAGGAAGGACCCTTGGAACACGAGTAATATTAGGATGGCGTAGTGGAAAAAGTTCAAACCATTTTTAACCCGGGACACCGGTTTAGAATGTTGTCACCTTTCCACTGTTTTTTTTTATGTACTGTACCCCACGTACTATCACCGCTACTGTTCCTCATCATTATCGACGAGATCATGTTGGGTGAAATTGACCGTGTACCGAACTGTGGGCTGCTTTGGCAGCCTATCACCATGGAGCATCTCAACGACTTCTATTTGGCTTCTAAATTGTGCTTTTAAAGCTGTTTTTTTTCTCTAAAATTTAAAGACATTTGTAAGCTCCACTGTATGAAATCGGCTAAACGATCTATTGTGGTAAAATTTATTTTCTACTAGTAAGAGTAATCGATGGAATAATGAAGAAGAGTAATTATAACATAGAATGCCCGTCATCTAATTAATCTATACAGCGCAGGTAGCGCTTGGTCATTTCGTTACATTCACCGGAAGGAATGGTAGTAAACTTCTCGTACATATAGATATTCCGCTCTTCTATTGACGTAGGTACATCAATTGCATCGGTACGTCACATTGCGGACATATCAGTGCTAACATTTGAAAACGGCACAAAAGCCATTTGTAAACAAATGGTTTGTGGGCCCTTTACTCACTACTTGAAGTACACCCACGCGACACAACAGCAACATCGGGTAGGAGAAATTTTCCCCTTCCTGACGATGCTGTTGGTTTGCGTGGGCGTTCTTCGGGTAGCGAGTAAAGGGCCCACAAACCATTTGTTTACAAATGGCTTTTGCGCCGTTTTCAAATGTTAGCACTGATATAATCAGAGACATGAAGTGATGAACAGTACTGACAAATTACCGACAGTAGTGGCCCCACTGGTGTAGTACACTCAAAAAATTTATCACATATCTAATGGATGAAAACCATGTGAAATATTCACATAGCTTTTATGTGATCACATAGCTAAAAATCCCACAACAAAATCACATGAATATTATGAGGCCGATGAAATTCATATGAAAAATCATATAAAATTAACGTGATCGCATAAATGTTATGTGAAATTCAGATGAATTCCATTAATTTTGTTTATGGATGAAAATCATTTGCGTTTCCAATGGAAGCTACATGAAAACTATTTTCGGTGTAGTAAGCGTGATTGTCTCTCACTCCAAAGGGCCTGATCACGCCTTCTTTCGGAAGGCAAGTAAAGCAGTCCATGAGTTGATGGGTCGAAAGGTAGGATCAAGATGTAGGAGCTGCCTCCCTGGCGTCAGTAGCATTGATACTCAGTACTGAAAACAAGATCGACGGAAAACTAATCAAGGGTAGAAAAAAGAAAATAGAAAGGGATTCTGGGGATTAAATACATTCTTAAACTTCCGTAAAGATCTGAATTTTCCAGGACGTTCAGAGAAGTTTTTTAAAAGTTAAGAGTTGTTTCGAAGGGGTCAAAAGCTTTAAGGAAGTTCAGAAAGTTTATGAAACTTGTAAGAAGTCCAAACATCTTTAAACTTCTCTGGAATTACGTGAACTTTTCTGATCATCTTTGAGCTTCGAGAAAGTTCTTGTAAGTTCTTTGATGTTTATGATTAACATATTGTCCCAGTTTTGGGGTTTCTCTTAGCTCAGAAGGCGCAGAAATATCTGAGACGTGATTTTAATTGTTGGGAAATTCTAGACCTTCAGAATAATGCCTGTTCATCCTGACATCTTGAAAAATATCCAGAGGCTGTCATTATGATCTTTTGCATCCATGGCTTCCTCAAAGTTGTTCTTGATTCCTTTCTACTCTTTATACACAATTTCCACACTGCCGTACTCTAACGGAACTATTAACTTTATATTGTCATCTAGTATAAAATGACAACTTTAAGTCTGTTATTAGAAACTTAGCATCTTCAAGAACATAAAGTTTTCTTTACTAAAATACAAATATCACCGGCTGTAACGAAGCTATATCATGTATAGGTGAGACAACTTGCTTTCGATCAACTGAACACTATTTGTCAGTGAGATTAGTGGTAATGTTATTTTTTTTTTGCTAACGGTATTCTTGACTCGTACGGATGGTTATTCTTGAAGCATCCAGAAAGGCATTCTAAAATGCGTCGTCGAATCACGACAATGGGTTGAGTTTTTAAAATTTCTCGAAGTGGGTCGCAATCAACGGAAGATTGGAACCATATCTTTCCGATGAATAAATATGAGTATTGGTCACATTGTCATTACTTTAATTTGGTCACTATTATCGATAATTTCACTAATATTACATCACATGCCCACTATCAGTCCTGAAACGTTGGACTTTAGTGTTCGTGAGATTGTGCTTGGAGATCTCTATTGGTTTCCTAACAATGTAGGTAGTTAGCAAAAACAATGGAATTCCAAGTTTTTCTCTGAGATACAAATGAGAACATGTCCAATCATTAAAGTTTCAATGTTATTTCTCTTTATTTCTTGCAGATAATCATGACCAGCATTCAAATTCCTCATCACATTCGATGCACACCACGTTGCAACCACAAGCGCTGGCATTGACGTCATCGTCGGTTGTGGCATGTGTACCGGCAACTAACAACGCTGCTACCTCCCTGTTGTCATCATCTACAACGCCCTCAAATAGTTCGACCGTGCTGGCCACTACTGCTGCTGCTGCCGCTGCAGCGGCAGCTGCTGCTATCAAAAAGACTGATTCCGTTCAACAGCAGCAAGTTGCTGAAGCTTTGAAGCTGCAGCTGGTGAAGCATCAAAATCAGCAGCAAACGCAACAACAGCAGGCACAGCATACTGATGATGAAGATCGAAGCGGTACGGAACAGGGCGACGCACATGATGATGAAGATTCGGACAACGAAACTGATGAACCGCAGATTAAACGTCCAACCCAAGGAGGAGCTGGATTGACTGATAGTCAAGACAAATCAATCAATCAATCCGAGTTAATGATTGAACCAAAAAACGAATACGACGACGGTCAGGACGAGAATGTTGAAGATTTAACTCTGGATGAGGAAGAATTACTGGATGATTTGGATCAAGCAGGGCCCAGTCACGGTGGTGAAGGATCTAGTCAAGGTACATACATATAATTAGAGCTACAGATAAATCTCCATGAGTCGAATGATTTATTGATGGGAATAATTGACCATGTGAAACTGTACCGATTCGTTTTTGATAATTCTTAACCTCAGCAATTTCACTACATACTGTGCCGGCAACATACTTCGGTTCCTCACTGCGCATTCTGTCGCTTTAGAATATTTATCATCAATACTTGTGAAATGTTATCACTGTTACTGTTACCACACTACTTCCCGCCTCCTTGGAAAATGCAATCGCCAGGAACTGTGCAAAGTATGTTTCCGGCAGCTTTTTTTTTTACAAGGAGGAAACATTCGAAGCGTTTTTTTTTATAGTAAGGTTTAGGAAAGCTTCAAGAAGCCTGGTCTGTAGTGAAGTTGGCACGGTGTGGTTACTTGCCATACTCAGCGCTAGCTGGCGTTGCTGGATTGCTGATCTTCTCTCCTTTACGCTGCAGCTCCGACATGATCTGCGTGACTGCTCTGTTAACGGCATTCCAAAAGTACCCTCCTCTCGACACAGTTCATCGACGACATTCTCCACGTTAAGGACAGGCATCTTCCTTCGCACTGTCTCGAACCTTGGACAGTCGAAGACTACATGCTCCGGCGTTTCATCGACGTTGCCACACTCCGGACAGAGGGGTGACGCTGCGTGTCCGTACCGATGCAGGTATTTCCTGAAGCAGCCATGTCCAGACAGGAAATGCGTTAGGTGGAAGTTTGCTTCTCCATGTTTTCTGTTCACCCAGGTCGAACGAATCGATATTAGTCGATGTGTCCATCTACCGTTCTCCGTCGTGTTCCACTCCTGTTGTCAATTACCCAAAGATTCCGCTCTTCCAACTATCCGTACTCTTCCGGCTTCTCTCGCCTCGATCGCCTCGGTTGACAACACTTCCACCTCTGCCAGCGTTTCGCCTGTTACCGTCAAGACGACGTCGTCCGCAAAGTCAACGATCTCAAGTCCTTTGGGCAGCTTCAGCGTTAGCACGCCGTAGTACATCCCGTTTCAGAGCGTTGCACCAAGGATGGAGCCCGCTGTGATCCGAATCGATCTCTGTCCCATGTCTGTCTCGTAGACCAGAACTTGGTTCTGGAAATAACTCCTCAGGATCCTGCTCAGGTAATCAGGGACCATCATTCTAGGCAGCGCTTCGGCGATGGCCTCCCAGCTGGCGTTGTTGAACGCATTCTAGACGTCGATCGTTATCACGGCGCAATATCGATCTCCTCTCCGCTTCTGTTTGGGCGCCTTCTCGGCTCTCTCGACCGAATTGCATCTACCGTTGATCTCCCTTTCCGGAATCCGAATTGCCTCTCCGACAATCCGTGCTCGCCTTCCGTGTATTTCGTCAGCCTGTTTAGGATGATCCTCTCCAAAAGTTTTCCGAGTGTATGCAGCAGGCATATAGGCATAGAGGAACTCTAAGACTAGTAGGTTCCGAAGAAACGTGCTCAACTGTTTGACTCAGCTCTGGTACTATCTTCGGTCCCAGCTAATCGATTCACCACTTGAAACATAGGAAAATCCAATAACCCCTCATTTTATCTGTCAAACTTTCATAGTGAATCAAAACAAACATTGTGTAGTACTAGAATTTTGACTAGAATGGGGTACGTTAATCGATCTGCTTGGGACCAATAGGCTAGTCAAGTCGTGAGCCAATTTCAAATCGATAGTTTCGTATTGATTGTTGATATAGGCCTGTACGATGCTGGATCACCTTCAATCCTTTCGCCACTGCTGCGAGTTCCTCGTTGGTGACTATGACGTTACGGTATAGGTGGTCTCCTTCTGGCCAGGTCGTTGGGTCGTGCTTCGGGAAAAGTTCTTCCAGGATAACTTTCAGCTTCTCTGGGCACATTTCAGCAGGCATCGTTGGACTTCTGATCTTTGCCATCACGACTCGGTATGCGTCGCCCCAGCGTCTCGTCACAGCTCCTTAAAACAGTTTGATTTGCTCTGCTTGATTTGTCGTTTAAGTGCGGCCCTGGCTGCTCGAAACACCCCTCTTCGTTCCTCTCTATCTGCTTCCGTTCTTGCTCTCTGAACACGTCTTCTGGCTCATTAGCGCGGAGAGTGCTAAGAGCCTCGTTCCACCAGTAAACTGGACGTCGTCCGTTATTTGGCTCCAGTTTCCTCGGCATGGTCGCGTCACATATTCTCACTAACGTTTCTGTCAGCTCGTCCGCGTTTACTCCTGTCCACTTCTGGTTACAAGTACTGCCACAGTATTTCGATGGCCGATGCCATATCGGATCGCCTGATGGTCGGTATGGGTATATGCTTCGCACACTCTCCAATCCATGTTTGCCCCCAGCGACGGACTGCAGAAAGTAACGTCGATAATGGATTCCCGGCCATCTCTGCGAAAAGTGCTGCTGGTGCCTTTATTGGCCAGCATAACTTCCAGTTTTACCAGAGCTTCCAACAGACTGTGCCCTCCTGCTTCCCCACTCCACTGCCCAAGCATTGAAGTCTCCTCCGATGACTACCGGTCGTCGGCCGATCAGCTCTTCGGTAAATCCATTCAGCATCTCATGGAACTGCTCCATCGTCCAACTGGGGGTGCGTAACAACTACAGATTAAGATTCCGCAACCACTTCTGGAATGGGGTATTTGCCCATAACTTGTATAGCAGCCATCCCAGCTCTATCCGCCACCCAGTTACCGTTATCGGGAGGGACTCGATACGGCTCCGCAATGATTGCAATGTAACGTCGCACTTTGTTTCTGTTGTCGACTGCCACAACAGTAGCTGAGCAATGTCGCAATGACTGAAATTTATTAGGATTACCTCCATTACTGTTGGCGCCTTTTTGTATGCTAGGCATGTGAAGCCTCCCGTCGTATGATCGTTTCTGTCCACTTTTTTGCAGAGCATACACCGCGGTTGCTTCGTGCAGCCTCTTGCAATATGACCTTTCTCGTATTTCCTGCACAGATCAGATCTGTCAGAGCCATTGCAGTTCCTCTCCTGGTCACTGAAACCCATGCACTTGAAGCATCGCTCCAGTTGCTTGGTAACCCTGAGGAGTGGCTTTCAGCGAGCACACTGATCAGCCAACCTTGATCTTGCCAGTCTCCAACAGCTTATTTGCTGCAACTGTCGAAAGCCGTATCACCGCCGTCTGCATGCCGCCGTATGCCTTCCACATACGGATTGGCATCGGGACATCTCCCAGATCACAGTGCACTCTCAACGCACTTCTTAGTTCCTCTTCTGTAGTGATTTCGTACAGGTCCCTGCACTTCACCACTGTCTCCTGGGATAGAACTCTTACGCTCGCCCCTTTAGCAAGAGACTTTTCGACGAGCTCCTTGAAGGTTGAGCTCTTGATCGCAAGATCCTCCTTCAGCTCAAAGAGCATCTCGCCGCGAATGGGGCAGCCGCACTATTACCCCACTCGCCATTTTAAGAAGGTGTCACCCTTCTTTACTCAGTGAGCAGAATAGCACGACTGTCAGCCCTGTAGCGTGGTATAAAATCCATAATGCCGTGCTGTGTCCATTATTCCATACCGTGTCCAGTATGCCGAAATTAGGATCTTACTGGCGTTGATCCTAATGTCAGGGTGGCCAGCAAACCGGGAAATCCGGGAATACCGGGAAATATCCGGGAATTTGGAAAGTAACCGGGAAAAACCCGTGAATTCTGCAGAGAACCGGGAAAATAAATTAACCATATCATAGGAACAAATTTTTACATCAGAATTTCAGAATAAACCATTAAAACAGAGTGATCCTTTAGCAAATGAATGTCTTGCTCTATTTGTTGCATAATTTTCTTCAGTATACCGTCTTACTGTTTTTAGAATTTAATCACTCAGCAATATTGCAAATTGATTTTTGTCGTTTCAATTTCAGATGTAAAGTGCATGGTCCTCTAAAGAAAATATTGAAGATGCTGGAGTTTGGAAACAAATATTTGTAAAAACCGAAACTGAATTATTCTTTTCCGGAGTTTTAATTTTTCGTTGTTCAAAATTCTCATGATGAATTCCAGAATTAACTTGGAATTCTGCTCTGAATTATCTTGAAATTGTTCTGAAATAAACCAGCAAACACTCCGCGTAATAATTACCGTTGAATTCTTTTAGGAATTTTCTTCCAACCCCTTCTAAGAATTTATTGGAATCCTTCATATAATTCCCGTTCCCGCCTATCCGGAGACTTTGATTCCTTTAAAAATCTTTTCAAACATTTCTTTTAACTCTATTCAAAATAAAAGAAATCTTTCGAAAATTAATTTATAAACCCCTTGGAGTATTTTAAAGAATTTCTTTCTAATTATCAGCAAATTTTTTGGAATCAATTTTGTTTGGGTTATGTGATGAATCATTCGCACTAGGGTTGAAATTATTGCCAGAACATTTTAAGAACTCTGTTTCTTGTTGAATTCCGATCATAATTCTCTTGGAATTCTTCTTAAAATTCATCTGTAATGTTCCTCACGATGCCCATACAAATCTCATCAGAACCACGTAGGAATTTTCTGCAATGTTTTATTTTTATTTTCACAATTCTTTTTTAAATCTACTAAATTTACCTAACAGTTTAATTTAGAACTTGCATTCTTCTCCAAAGAAATCCTTCCAAATTCATCTAACAATTTCTATGGATTTCATGTAAGAATAATTCTGGAAATCTGCTCTTCTCCTTCGAAAACTGTGTGGGAATCCTTCTCAATATTTGTTTTTAATCAACACTTTGAATTCTTTTAAACTTTACTAAAAATTCCAGGGTTTGTCCGCCAGATTCTACAGATTGCTATGTAATTTGTTATTACCCTTAAAATGCTTCCAAGTCTCAGAGCGTGACAATTATGACTCCACGACTCATAAGTATGATGTTTTTTTATAAATCTATAAATGATCTTGAAAAAAATTCAAAATTTCACATTTTAATTATTGTTTTTCCAAATCTTGCATCACGAAGCATGTTACTAATCACAAATTTTGAAGAAAAGTTCTAGTTTCAGACTCTACACAAATTTCAAAGCTCCAGAATCTTGGGAATCTTCTTAAATCACATTTTTTATCCTATCAGTAAATTTTGTTTTTTTTTTTTTGTTGCATATTAACAACCGGGAATTTTTAAGATTTGAACCGGGAAAAAACCGGGACTCCTGCGGGTTGACGAAGCATTTCCTCTATCGCCGTGCTATGTTTACCGCGCCAGTGTTCGCGTCGCACCACCTCACTTTGCTATTGTCGGAAGGACAACATTTCCCAGGCCTGCATTCGGACGCAAAAGGCGCTGGTATTGAGATAACCAGTTTTCAAACATTGAGCTAGTCCCAAGTAGAGTCGGTGTATAATGAGTCACGCCAAGAGTGAAGCCAAGTCTACCTATTGAACTGTCAAACCGGCTACCTATCGTGCAAAGTAAACCAACATTACGATGCTATGAAAGGTCCATGAAAGGTATTGCAATAAAATATAATCGAGTAGTAATGAGAATTTCTACTATTTTTTGATAAGAGATGATTTGACAAAATCACTGATATAATGATTTACTACAGCCGCTATTTTTTTTTTCTCGCTAGAAGTCATTAGGCCGTTCGCAATGCTGTTGTATTTTATAAGGACTGTTTCAATTTGAAACTAGAACAGAAACGCACCTCGCGCAATGCCGAGTTGCAGTTTCGTTATTCGAGCACTATTTTGCACCAGATTTGCAACTGCTCGACTATTGTGTTTTATTTCTGAGCGAGTTTGAAACACGAATGGAACCCTGTTTCAAATTTCTTTGGATGTATTTAAAGATGTTTCGAAGAGCTTCACAAAAACACTCTATGAACTTCATAGAGAACAGTAAAGTTTATCGAACTTGATGATTACAAACATCTTTTAGAACTGTGAGTTGCGCTGATCGTGTTGCAGTATTATTTTTGACAGTTTCAAATTATAGAATTGTCGAGTAGTTTAAAACAATTTTGAAACTCAGCATTGCGAACGGCCTTAGAAGTTGATGTAGAAGTCCTCTGTTGCCAATTGAAAAGAAAGGGAATCTTTCGAAAACCGTGATGCGAGTTCAACTGTTCTTCTCTTGGCGTGACTCATTATACACCGACTCTAGTCCCAAGCATCGTTCATTGATTCTCTGTGTAACTACAGCTGATTTGGCAATAACGGTATAGGGTGGAGCGCTACTTCGTCGTAATCGCCCATTTCCGTTCTATCGATCAGAAAAGATCAATAATATCAATGATTTCACCGTGCACAAATCAATAATAGGTTTGTTCCGATGCGTTAGTTCATTAGCTACAACATAAATCCTGTAGAGCGCATTGTATGAATATTTACGCTCATTGTTCTCAAAACAAAAGAAGCGCTTCTAATGAATCCCCTTTTTCTACGTTTATCCGTAGGACGAAGAAAATCTAATGTCGTTTCAATGCGTTAAGACGGAATTGAAACTCGTAGAAGGAAATTAGGATCAAGAAGCAGTGTTAGATTTTAGACAATATCTCAACGATTTGTGACTCTTTATCAAATCCAACGGTGAATAAATTTGCAAGTCATCTTTAACAGCAATATTCATTTTTTTTTTTTAAACACGTTCAGAAAAGAGAGGTAAAGCGCGGGTTATGCTTAGTAGGACGGAAATTAGATCGAAAACCCGCGGGTGGTCAATCATGATTACGCTCATTCCGGTAAATGACTTTATGGGAAGCATCGCATTTCGGGAAACATCTTATTAATAAATTTTCTGTTATTGTTTGTTTTTTACGGGGTAGGTAGACCCTTTTTTACAACCCTGATAATAGGGTTTTTGATCTAATTTCCGTCCTACTAAGCACAACCCACGCTTTACCTCTCTGTTCTGAACAGGTTTGAACGAAAAATGGAATATTTATGTCAGAGATAACCTCTAAATGTATTCACCTTTCCATATGTATCGTTAGATTTGATAAAGAGTCACAAATTGTTGAGATAGTGCTTTACCCTATTGTTTAAAATCTAATTACTGCTTCTTGATTCTATATTCGTCCTACGATAATTTGCATTACCGAACTGTCCGTAAAGTCAATCTGTCAAAAATAACTGTTCATTCAGTAATTGGTTCGAGTTGCGTATACTAGAAAACCCAGTATTTTGTTTTGTTTATTTTGCTGCAATTTAACTGACAAGACAGTTATTTGGTTCATTATTGTACCGTGTTACTTAGTTATATTAAAAGTAGTGAATGTGCAGTCATAAAAACACGAATCACCGTTTATAATATGACGACTTAATCCTTTGACGTACCCCGGAACAGCGCATCGCGCATCGACAGTGAAAGCAAACAATGCAAACATCCATTTTGTTAATCAAAATTTGTTGGAGATCAAGGAACTGCAAAAAGAGTAAATAATAATTGTTGGTACTAACGAAATAGTTCTTCTATTTCGCTGTCGAGCTTTCTTAGTTCCGTCATGATATAATTCATGATATAATTCAAATTTTAACAAAACTGCGCGATTAAACACTTGCTCCCGGATTTTACTGAAGCTAAAATGGCGGCGGGAATAAAATTGACAGGTTAGAGTTTTACAATTCGTGGTCGGTAAAACAAGGTGGCTAATTTGCTGAGCAGTCGGTAAAAATATAAAGACTACTTTGTGCACAGTAATTATTTTTACTAACTTTTCGTGAAATCACGAAAATTTTGAAATTAACGACTTTCTCGGTAAATAAATAATCTGTGTACAGTATTTTGCATCAAACGAAACCGAGGTTCAGTTTGTGTTTTACAGAACGTTGGTTATTCACCTGATTTAAACTGAATTTGTACTGGGTGTAAGCCCAGTACAAAAAATACCGAACAACTAAATGCTGGATTAGTGTGTAAATATGCATACAATACGCTATAATAGGATTTATGTTTTAGCTAATGAACTAACGCATCGGAACAAACCTATTATTGATTTGTGCACGGTGAAATCATTGATATTATTGATCTTTTCTGATCGATAGAACGGAAATGGGCGATTGCGACGAAGAAGCGCTCTACCATATTGTTTCTTTTTTTCCAATGTTATTTATTTATTTGTCAACATCAACAAACTCGATAAAGTCCCAATGATAGTTTAACTTAAAATTAAATAGTCATAAGGTAAAACTAGAAATACTCAGAGGGAGGAGAGATTGGCGGAGAAAACAAAATACAATTCGGCAGCAGGGACTTGTACCTAAATTGCATTCCTTGCTAAAAGCTAGCATTTCACATGGACACTTTTACTTTTGATTCGATTTACGTGCAAAATAACAATTGAGTGAATCGCAATATTTTGCATATTTCTTGGTGCCATTAATTAGCGAACTAAGATCAATTAATCCATATAGTTAGAATTCCAAAAACTAGTTGAATTTGAGAAGCACACGAAACATAAAGGTGATTGAATTTCTGTTCGATTGCAATACTCTCTAATATAATCTAGTAAGAATAAGAAATCCTCGGACAAATTCTAATGGGAATGTTCGATTGGCTCATTTGGTTCAAAACATTCTCTCCGTCTGAGTATTTCATAAAACCATGATCATTGACGATTTACATTTCTGAAGGTATAGAATATAAAGATAGAAAGTTTATCTGTCAAAATTGTCTGGGTAAAAATATGTATTGAATAAATCGAAAGGATAAGGAATACTATAAACTCGAGATGTATTGGAACCAGCCGTGTTCTCTTCTAACGACTCATGGAGGATTCACTGTAATAATTTGTTGCACAACAAATAATTTATTATTTACGTTTTTTAAGGTTATGCACAATGGCAAATGGAACGAGAACAAAGTGAAGCGTTTATGGCTACTCAGGACGCAGTCGGTGGACAACATCGAGACGCACAAGGTAAGCTAATTTTCCTACCCTGACAGTTACGATGCACAAAACATTCGAGGACCAAAGAGAAAACGAAAGAGTCCAATTTATGTTTACACGTCAGCGCAATTATTGAGCATATTACTTGGCAGTGTAGGGATTTCAATTTTGCGTAGAGCACATCCACTGCTAGCATTAGGAATGATATTCCATCTCTAATGCAAGTGCAATAAAAAGAAAAGTGTATTTGCATCATAAGTTTGGTCATTTGTAGTAAATTATTTGGAATTCTGAAAAAAAAAGTTCATATGACCAATATTAAAATAAGATACGAACTCTTTTCTCGATAGTTTTATGGATCGTACGTCTATAATGTGTCTTAAATAATAATTTTGCAAACCTTGAATGAAGTAAAAATAAGCATTAAGAAAAAGCGAGAAAAAACAACCAACACAATAATCGTTCACAAAAGAGCGCCGGATTTGACCTTTTGAAATGTTCTGCATAAATCTATTGGTGGGAGTTTCTAATCTGAACTTCTCAATAGGAGGAATTGTATCAATAGATGTTTTTTTATTTTGTTTTCTATGTAAACCAAGCATCGAATAACAATGATTTGTTTATATTCCAGTTAGAAAAGCATTCTTCAACAAATAAAACAACACATCGATAAAAAAAGATACCCTTGGCATAAAGTTCGTGAACATTTGGCACGTCATGGTAGGGGTACATAGGTACACGTTTGATATGTTGAACAAGCAAAGAAGAAAAATAATGACCTTTGCATGTAAGATGTATGATGATGTATGAGGCATTTTTAATTATTATTTGATATTATTGGAATATCGTTCCATCAATGATACATTTGTGTAATTGATTTGGAAATAGCCATAAACCTAGTCAAAGCCTTAATGTATGTTCATGGTTGGGCTAAAATTTGCACTCTAAAGACAACCTTAAAAGCAAATCATATCCGGTACCATCGCACTCTCGGATGTATGTGATCTGTACTCGCGCCATAGTTGACATTATTTCTGATATTTCGTTTGTGCTACATTACCCTGAATTTGAAAAGAATGAGCAGCAATGTAAAGAAAGCAGAATCTCATTCGGGGTAATGGCTTTCGGGAAGTTTCATTCGGTGTAATGGAATTCAAGGTAATGTAGCACAACCGATAATTCAGTGGACCGAAACGAAAATGTTTGACAAAAAAAAAAACAGTTCAGTGCACTAATAAAATTTCAAAGATTATTTTTATTTGTCCCACACATGAATTTTTGCAATGTGATCAAGAAATGATATCTATGTGTCAGACACATAATTAATATGTGTACACATAAAGCCACGTGTAACCCCACATGCTATTCATTTGACTCATAAATTTCATGTGTGCTTCTGGGTGGAATCTGTTTATATTTGGTCGCATGAAAATCAAGTGGAAATTCATCAATAAAAGTGTGTGGAATTTTATTAGTGTATTTTTCGCTGCTGTTTGATTCGATAACAAGTTTCATTGCGTGCCTTTGTTCATATTGGCTGTTTATCCAAAATCAACTTCTCAGAACTTCCGAAAATTGATTCGTGAACCTTTTTTACGAATCCATCATTCTGGGATTCTTCTTAAAATTAGGGACGAAAAATCTTTTTTTGTTTTTCGTCCATTTATTTTAAGAAAACTCCCGAATTATTCCAACTACTATATTGTCTGACCTTATGTACACAGATGGATTCGAAACATGGGTAACGAATTCATTTTCGGAAGTTCTGAGTAGTTATTTCGGAATAAACAAGCCAATGCAGCCAGTCAATATGAACAAAGGCACGCAATATCAATTCTTGAATTTGGAATGCCGCGTGAACGTTGGTTCATGATAGGTTTTGGCCATTTGCTCCAAATATGCTGAAAGTTCCGGATGTGTCTGTAATTGCACTAGACTTTTAATGCTCGCAAATGATTGAGATATCATCCATCGCAATAATTCTAGTCTGGTTTAGATCATTTCTCAGCTACACGTGATCAAATGTGACGTTATCATGTCAGTTCTGCTTTTGACATATCGAGTTATAGAATCAAAACTGCATAACACACATCGACCAAAGGATGCACCGACTTGTGTAAAATGTCGACTTACAGCGAGTACGATACATGAAAACATTATGGGACCGCTGAATTCATCGAGTTAAAGTATATTTAATTGTGGAGAATTGGCTGTATTGATTGGCTACATATACTGAACTTAAATCACATGTAATTCATAGACAAAATTCTTCAAATTTCATGGATGTCCAATGAATCTATCGCTTTGAAAAATCCAATGAAAGTTATAAGCCAGTGATTCCTACATATATTCCTAAGATATATGTTACGGAGAAGATTGTCATCAGAAAAACAGATGCATGTCAAGGGATTATCTAATGGCGCCACTTGATATGCCTATCCAATGGTTTTTACATCTCATTTTCTTTTCGTCTACACTACTATACTACCCATAAACGCATAACAGTTCCATTAAAATAGGAAATCAAACACCGCAGCTTTCGTGTTTCGCTGTGAGATCCTTATTCTCGCTACCACTTCGAAACTTTAAGTGCACAAATATCAGTTTCCACGACACGCACCACAATGAAACTGTTACTCCACATTTGCAGCGTGCATGCAGTAGCAATTTCAGGTGAATTGGGGCACTAATTTCCGAGATCTGTGTAATTGAAAAAATCGAGGTGAATGTGCATTTATATTTATAGCCTACAGGCTTCGAAAACCTGAAGTGTCATTCGCTGTTGACTTGTTTTTTTTTCTCATTATAGTAGCAGTATTACATATCATGTGAAAATAGTTTCACGAGAATTGGTTGAACTTCCATAAAGTCATTGCATAAAATGTAAATAAGGGCGTGGTTCATAAAAGTAACCATCCAATCCAAGTAACCATTGGATAGGCATCTAGAATTGCAATGTGATTTAAGTTCAGTATGCAGTTGACAAATTGTAATGCTTATTTTCTCTGGATTTGCACTACTACCTACCATTACCATTTTCAAACATATCTAGACGGACTCCCACACAGGCACATAAATCTATTGATATAAACAATCCAGACATCGTTGAAAACGACCATCACATATTTCCGCAAAGCTTGGAAAAATGGATACGTCTTTTGTTGATATAATTGTTGTTGTTTTATGGAAAAGACAATCCGCAACTGCAACAAAAGTTGGTTATTTTTTCTCGTCTGCGTTGATGTAGTTTTTTTATAGTAATCCTCTACTATGTATCATTTCAGTAATCATTGGTGGTTGTAGTATTTTTTCTCTTTAGTTTCAAACATTCATAGTTTATTATTTAATTTCTTTGCATAATATATCTTTGTTCTTTTACGGGTCACTTTGCTTAAGCACACACGTTCGAAATTGCATTTGATTCCTTGCTTAACGTGGCATTCAACTTTCAAGTATAATGCTTAACTTATATTTAGATATGCATTTAGATCGTGTGTGTATAATTTATGTGGCTCAGAGGGGACAGTATTTCAAGCGTGAAAACTAACGAAATTACAGTGTTTCACTGTTTTTCTTAGCGGCAGGTATATTTTATTCGGAAGTGGTTTAAAAAGCATATCAATGCACAATGTTTAACTTAGTTAATTTTCATATCATTTTATGGGCGTGTGGTTTAGTTTTTAGTTGATTGATTGGTTGTTATAATTATTAATATCCTTGCATTATTTTTGCATGTTAATCTAATATCATTTTAATATTAATACATATCAACAAACATTTCTGTAATTCAAATTTATATACAAACAAAATTCTTCGGTGATTAAATGATACTAAAAAAAACATTGTAATTGTAATAACAGTCACGTTTACAGTGTTTACCTAGTTTATTTTAAATATTAATATGTATAGAAAAAAAACGACATTTATGCAATTCACTTTGATATTGTTCACTTTACAATTGGCGGAGTGTTTCAAAGACTAGTTTTAATTTATAGGTAGTAAACATACGACTCATAAAATGAACTTCTAGACGGACGATACTGAAATCACACTATAATCTAGTTTTCTATTTATTGATTCGCATTTACAAAATAATAGCACAGGTAACTGTCAAATTCTTTCATTGTTTGTCACGTGTTCGCGTTTGCAATCGAGTCAGTCATGTCAATTGAAACAATGAATCGTGATGAACTATGCTAGTGATTGATGCAGCAAAAATGTAATTTTTTGAGACGGAGATTGAAACAAGGAAACTTCAACCTTCTTATGGATTCAACTGGAACATAAGCGAACCTGGCTGCGGCTTCGAGAAGTTGTAGCTGTCAATTTTAAATAATTGGCAGTGAGGTAAACAGATAAGACATACAACATTCAAACATGCACATCTATGAATAGTCGTACTTATGTTGAACCTTAAATGCGCGCAACCGATAAAGTTGTTTCTGAACTATATGTCGTTCAAAATGCCTTATTTTTCTTTCGTATTACTTCAACAGTGTTATGTTCTTGTTCTGTTGTACGTCTAGATTTGCAATAAAGACAGTAAGTATTCTTCTTCCGCAAATGTATCGTTGTGGAAGAAGCCATTTTTTATTTAAACCACCCTAATAAAGCGCACTCTGTCTAATTCCGGGCTTTTTACAGAAAATTTTCCGGTATTTGATCTAAATATTTATTTGTATAAAAGCAAATGAATCGACCAGTCTAACTCAATTCAGTTTATCCACTTTTTTCAAAACTGTGCGGAATTGAGCTCAAGGTGTGCTGAATTAAGGTGTTTTGCAATAAATAATTTCATTTCATCGATATTTGCACCAGGATCAGTCATAACAACACATTTTTGACTTTCAGCAGTGATTCGTTAGTGAGATTTAAATAAAGTGTTACTCCTCAATTGTATAAGAATTTAGGACTCCATAAACTACGTAGACAGTATAAACTACATAAAAAAACAGTAGATTCATCAAATTCCCCCGCCTCCCCTTCAGTGTCTGCGTGCTTTATGGACAGTCCCTAATAGCGTTACATCT